GAGGCGGGGGGAGGGCAGCTGGAGCTGCCTCCTCTGCCTCCCGCCGGCCCAGGGCACGAGGTGCCGCGTGCTGGAGCCGGTTCCCTGGGGCCAGGGCCGTGCCCTGCCCCAGCCCGTGCAGGGCCCTGCTGGCAGGGAGCTCGCGGCACAGGGACCCTGCCCTGTGCCCCTGCCCTGTCACAGCACAGCCAAGTCCTCTTTTGTCTCTTTTCTTTAATACAAGCAACAAAATAGAAACAGCCGTTTGAAAACGTGTCTGGACATGCGGGGCAGTGGCAGCGGGGCGGGCGCAGGCACGGGCCCCTCCCCGGGAGCTGGAGCAGCGGGGCTGTGCAGAGCGGGGCAGGTGCTCAGGCCCCCAGCTCGGGGCTGGGGCAGGCACGTGGGCTGGGGGCCCCGGCGCCCCATGGCAGAGCCGATCCCAGCTCACTGTGGACCCTCCGGGGGCACTAGGGCCAGGGCAGAGCAGGGCCTGGGTCCCCCTGTGCGGGAGCCCTGGGCAGAGGGCAGGGGCCAGGGCTGGCAGGCTCCGTGCTGCAGCGCCCTGCCATCTTGCTGCTCTCTGCTGCCCACCCTGGCAGCAGAGGGCTCGGGGTGGGCCCAGGGCTTGAGTTACCCCAACCCCCCAGCCCGGCGCATGGAGTCCTGCCCCATCCCCGAGCGGCTCAGGCCGCGGCCCAGCTTGAGCAGCGGGGGCAAGGCCGGGCCCTGCGCGCCGCGGGGGGCGTCAGTCTGGGGGCAGCTGCAGGCAGTCATTCCCTGGCGACCGGTCACTGCTGCTGGAGTCGGAGCCTGCAGGAGAAGGGCAGCGTGAGGCCGAGCTGCGGCCCCTCCTGGGGATGGGACGGGGGCAGGGTGCGGCGCAGGGCAGCACTTACCGTCGCTGGGGCCTGGCATGAGCTGGTCGCTGCGGCAGGGGCTGGTCGGCGTCGTGGGCCCCGGCAACTCCTGGCTTGTCCCGAGCTGCAGCTTCCGCATGTGCCGCACCACAGCCGTGGCATTGAAGGCTTGCTGCGGTGGGCACGGCGTCAGCATCGGGGCAGACCAGAGCCCCCCCCCACCTACCCCCTGCCTGGTCCTGCCCCACCACCAGCACCCCTGCGCTGCCCCGCTGCCCGCAGCCCTCCTTGCCGGCCTGCAGCTCCCTCAGCCAGTGCCCCCGCCCCACTGCACACGGCGCCCCCTGCTGGGCCTGCCGCGGCCCCAGGGCTAGTGCTCCTCCCCCCCCGTGGCACCTGCCACCCCTGCGCGGACTGCACTTTCCCCAGGGGCTGTGCTCGGCTGCTGGCAGTGCCCCTGCTGGTCCCGCGGCTGCCCCACAGCACACGGCGCCCGCCACAGACCCTGCAGCTGCCCATGCACCCGTGCTGCCTCCCTGCACACGGTGCCTCCTGCCGGCCTGCAGCTGGTTGTGCCCAGCCTGCCCGCTCCCCCCACAAACAGCCAGCAGCCCCCTCCAAGTAAAAATCAAGGAACGAAGACATCAGCGCCCCCAACCCCAGTGCCTCCACCCCAAAAGCTCCCAAGTACAGGATACACCAGAGCCCTCAATGCTCCCAAATAAAGGCAGACGCATGTGTGTGGGCATGTCCCCAAATTCACTGCACAGCAGACCCTAATAACGCCCCCACCACCACATACAGGGCAAAACAGACCCCCGACCCCCCCAAGTACTCAAACCGAGCGGAACAGACACCCAATCCCCAACACAGGGCAGAGCTGCCCCCTCTGATGCCCCCAACTACAAGGCTGAACAGCCCCCAACACCCCCGACTACAGGGCAGCCTAGGCACCCCCCCATTGCAGGGTGGAACGACCACCCCAGCACCCCAGAATCAAAATCAGAACAGC